ACAATTGAGACTTATGCAATGGTCTTCTTTACTAATTCAAACTTGTTTTAATGAGTCAGGTGTTGTATTGGTGCAGGGGTTCTGCAGAGAGGTTGTGCTGCTGGTGTTGTCTTGCATATTTGATGGTATCTTGAATTTTAGAGAGGTGATCGTGACAATCCGTAGATCTCGAACCTACCATAAGAGCTTGCAAAATGTTCATAACAGTTCTGTTAAGGAGGACTGCTTCACTAATTGTAGTCAGAAACTAGCAAATCGATACAAGCTTGGCATTGGCATCTTCAATACTCTAAAACGTCATTGCGAACCCTTGTGTTGAACTCGTCAAAGTGTTAGCTCCCAAATTCGACACTGCCTTGGGTTGCTAAAACATTAAGACATAATTAATGTCTAAGTAAAATGAAGCAAAGAGGTTTCGACAGCCTCTAAGGAATTTCCTAAAGTTGAACGGTTGAAATAACTTAGAAAAATTAAGAAACCATAAGTTATGAGCATTTTGACCGTGTCAGGGGTCATTCGACCGAAATTCCGCAAATGGCATTGCTACGTCATTTTGAAATTCAAAAATTGGAGGGAGGAGTTTTGGTTCATAGGACACATGGCGAATTCTAGAGCAAGAGGTTACATGCAAATGACACTTGTTAGATCGAGGAGATACTAGGAAGTTATTAGCGGTTAATTATTAGTATTATAAATAGGGATTTGTTAGGCATATTTCTGGTGTGTTTTACCATTTGTACAAAGTAACTCCAATCAAATTTACTCAAAGTACCCGAGTGTGAGAAAAGAGTATTTTCGCGGAGAATGTACGTTATGTAAAATCACCAACTTTTCAATAAAGTCTTTTACAATTTCAGCAACATTTACATTCCCTCTGTCGAACCACTTGTGCAAGTGTTACATTTTGCCTTTTACCTTTCCTGCATCTTTTACTCCAATTCCTTCTTCCCTTTAAACTTTTTACCCTTTTCGAGCAGCCTTTTTACAAATCTTTTATAGTGTTTCTTTAAGTTTATGCACTTTAAAATATCCAGCCAAAGTCTTTTTCATTACAAGCACATTTACCAATTCGTTATCACAAGTACTTTAAATTTAATTCTAAACGTAGAATACTTTAGCACATGTCCTAGGATCAATCTGATCGATCCTGTGAGTCACCAAAGTCAAATTTGGAAGATCAGCGGTTGTTTTCCGATTTTCAAGGGAAACACAAAGGTACATGATTCTTGCGTGAAAGCTCATAGAAATCATTTGCGTTGTGGAGGTTTATTTTGCTCTAGGTTTGGCTGATAACTCGATCTCTCATTGTGAGTGCAGGTTCTTACTTTCAAATATAAGCTGATGACTTCGGTTGTTACTTTGTGGATTACGGCTTTAAGGAGAGTCCTGAACACGGTCACGATATAATGGAAAGATGAGTAAACTCAGTCTTAACTTCCTTTTCACCTTGATGAGCACATGGTGATATTCTGATTTCGTGTCGAAACCGCATTTACTTAAACTTACCAATACCATCTTTTGACAGTGTGTAGGTACAAGCAACATCAACCATTTCAACGTGGTAATTGAAGTTCCTCATTGAGATGAACATGAGAGAGAAGGATTAACAATTTCGGAGATGCGAAGATGAGGGAACCATTGCATCGTAGTTTACTCGAGAATTTTCAAGTATGAGCTCTTAACTTCTTTAAATGATGTTGGAGGATCTATTAGTCCATTCCACTTGTGACTATGCAATGTTCTTTTGTTGACTCGGTTCTGTTTGTTTCTATTTCATGTGCGTTGTTTTGACTTTGTGGCCAAGCATACATCTTTCGAAGCCCTGCTGCATATTCCGGTAGACATATGCTTATTATAATGGCGTGGATGATGCCAAAGCCCAGTTTGCAAGACAACAAATTGCGGAGCAGCAATGTTACTGAAAAGAAGAACACCTCATGAGCAATTTCCGACCGTCGACACAGGGACTTGGTGGTCTATCACGTTACTTTGCAGCACTGGGAGCACCATTTGAAGGTAAAACTCTTATACAATCTTGCTTCAAACCCTGCTTCCATTCGGATGTTGTGGTAATGTATGGTCGTCCTGGATAACAGTGATAACGTTAATGTTTGTCACAGGATCCGTTTCATAGTTTCATGCTTCGATAATGTTTTTAAATATTGCTACTTGCCGAAACCGCGATTAAATCTCATGTCTTTGCTCTTACGGTGTTCGACGCAACTGACTTATTTTATTGTTGATGGCTCTTCTGATGTAGGATTTCCACACTCTTGGTATGCACCTGCAGCTTGTCCGGTTTCACAGCTTGTGGCATGATTTGCGTTGCGGCCTTGCTCAGAAGCGGGGCACGAGAGACACGTCCCTTGTTGTGTCCGAGGCTCCAACTTAGAGCGAATCCCCTCGTTAGCCAAGAAAGAAGTGCGCAGTCTCGAAGATGAGGAAGTTCCCGTAAATCCGGCATTGGCTCATGCTCCATTGTTTCTTATAATGAATTGTGTTTGCGGTTACTGAGTGACTCATGTAGTGTTAAAATGTTGTAGAGGCCATAAACAGATTACTAGATATCAATACGGTTGTGTATCATGCAGATTCAAATAGGAAATTGTGAAGTGCTCCCTTCTCTTTCTCTTGTATGAAACTTATGCGCTTGAGAAATATGGACCCTCTTGTTGTGGGGATTTGAATGTAATGTAGCTGTAATTAAGTTGTAACTGTTATAACTCCCAATATTTCTAATATTTTATGTCCATGTCTTGTATTTTCAAAGCTTCGGTTAAATTACTTGTCTTTTAAAACAGGGCGTCTTGTAAATTAATATCCCTAATCACCTTTCTTGGCAAAACAAGGATAAAATAAAAGCGGCGGACTAGGAAACTCAATGTCCACTTGCGGCGTTGCTTAATCGTTGGATTCCTCATTGTTGTAACACTGATGCTCACAACAGTCCTTTAATAACTTAATCATCAACGACAAACAAAACTCCTTCACCACGATGAAGTTCTTGATATGAACCAAATCTCACATAATGAAACCGACTCAAAACAAACATGGTCATAAACCACCCTTGAGAATGCTCCCCAATTTCTCTTTGGAAGTAATGGCTCAACCTACGAGATGGCCCCCCATAGGAAACATAATAGGCCCTAAACGCTTGCGCCCTGAAATACTTGTCTGTAAGGGTCTACACTTGTCAATATCGCGCCTGCATCAATTGGTTAGTTATAATAAACATACATATAAGAGGCGAGAGGTAACACGTAAGATAAAGCGCACGGAGGTGGGATCTTAAGGTCAAAAATTAGAGTGTGACAGCTACCCCACCATCATTACCTGCCACCACTGTTATTCCAGATGTGCTAGATTTGACTGAATTGATTGCTTTATTATTGCCATTAATTTCCTCCCCATAAATAGCATTCACTCTAGTATTAGGACCAACATTAATGTTTTTAACAACAAAAATGCGCAGCCCACTACCTTCAGTAACAATACCACTATCATTATTATGAGTTAATGATTCAAATCTCGATCTCGACAATTTATCATCCACATAAAATTTCGCTGGAATCGAGTTCCTCCAGTCCTTCACCTATCTTTTCCCTCTTCTCTACGTTTGAACCACCTTCTAGGGACCATTTTCTATTTCATTAAAACTTTCTCCCTCCACCTTGGGTGAGCTTACAACAATGCTTTTATCTTTTCCGCCACTTTCCACTTGCTGAACTTGCTCTTTTTCTCTATTGCTGCAACCTTCTTTGTAATTGCTGTATCTACCACATTTCAAATAAAGAAGATGGAAACCTTCATATTCAATGCGATAGCTCCTATCCTTGATACTAAAAATGGCAATAAGATGTTTCGAGATATTAACTTGAACACAAATTCTCGCATACTTCCCCCTTTCATGTTGCATGGTGTTCTTGTCAACTTTGATCGCACGACTAACTCGATTACCAATAAATGTCAAGACTTTAGTATCATAATATTCTATCGGTAGTCCCGCAATTCTGATCCAAACAACTATTTCATCAATAAAATCCTTCTTCGGTTGGAAATTGGGACACCACTCCTTAACCGTCAGATAATGATCATAGATGAACTAGGGACCATTATCCATAGTTATACTTTTATCATCCTCATGAGAGAACGCTACCAGATAATAGTCGTTGCTTAAATCAATGATTCTGATAATGGTCTCAAGCGCTTTATATCCAATCTTCCTTCCCAAAAGCTTGACTATCACTCCTCTTCTCCAAGGGCGATAAATCATTTTCTCCTCCAACTCAGACAGAACAAAAGTTGGACAATCGTCCTCTCCAACTTTAACTTCCACAATTTTCAAACCTTCACTCATTTCCTACTGATCACCATCTAGTATTTCTCCTCCACTTTCATGTTAACATCAAGGTTATATGAAATACCAATGACCATTTCCCGAAATGATTTGCTTGTGCCAGTAGAAACATTAGCTCCCACCCGTAACCCTCCAACCCCACTTTCTTTAATTTTTTTAGTACTAATTTCGTAAAGATCAACTTCATCAACACTCTTCCCCAAACTCTCTGAAGAGACAAACCCTAACAGATAATTCATTTTTACGCATAAATAATTCAATATTCAAACTTTTCGTATATCTACAAATATTTGTAAATTAATGATGATGTTAGTATTACATAAATATCCAATAACCAACTAATTAAGAAGGAGATGAGAAATATAAAGCGGTTTAAAGTGGTTTAAGAGGTATCTTAACAATTAAAGCCCAAAAACAAGCAAGAAATCGAGAAGAAAAGAAAAAATCTATCCTGTTTTGCTTCTTTTCTTTTCTTCTCTCATCAAACTCAACCTATCCACTCAATTCAAACACACTTCTTCTCTCATCATCTCATCTCATCTCAACTCAACTCATGTGCTATCAAATTCAATCTCGTTCCTCTTCCTAGCATAGCATACTATTACTATATCACTATTTCTATCTTTACTTGTCTTGTGCATAAATGGCACATGTTCATACTATTCGATTACAATTTCAATCTCTCCGACTTCCATCTCCCTCTTTCTTCACTACTCTCCCGCCGCTTCCACCTAAGACCCTTTTCTCTCTGCCACCGCCGTCGCATTTCAAATCCAGAAAACAATTGCTTCCTTTCAAGGTAACCCCCTTTTTATTATTACCCAATTCGGTGAGAAATTAAGTAACTTTATGCCACCCCTTGTTTCAATTATGCTCTAATTACACTTTCATAACACATTTCAATCTTGGGTTGGAAGATTAAGATAAACCCTTTTCTATGTGTTGCTTTTTTGTTTTTTGTTTTCTGAGACAGAAAGTGTTGTTTTTTTGTATTGAAATATTTTGTTCACATTTATGTATCAATGCTAATTGTTTAATTTTCCTTTTCCTTTTATCAATTGCAAGTTTATGTGTGAGTGTGACTGTTAGGTTAATCAATTCTACCAGTGTTTTGTTCTCATAGTTTTTGTTGGGTTTTACTCAGGTATGTGCAGCTGTTACAGAAAATGGTCCACCAAAATGGTGGGAAAAGAATGCACCAAACATGATTGACATTCACTCCACACAAGAGTTTCTGAATGCTTTGAGTCAAGCTGAGGATAGACTAGTTATTGTTGAGTTTTATGGGACTTGGTGTGCTTCTTGCCGAGCGTTATTCCCCAAGGTTCTATTTCACTCATTTACTTTCTCGATGTTTTCTATTGTACTCTACTTCTATTAAAGGGTAAATAATTGTTACGTAATTGGCTGGGTCGTACGTCGAATATGATCAACATGAGTCAATGGTTATGCCGTGGTTATAGGAGTGATACTAATCTTTAAGTATTGAATGAATCTTTCCATGGATATCAGTTTAAAAGTATATGACCTGTTTGATTTTCATTTGGTGCTTACTTCATGATACCGACATTTAAAAGTATAATACCGACGATGTTGTTTGAGATAGAGTGTTAGGCTATAAAGAACCAACACGAAAAAAAAATTAAGCGTAGTCGAGATAAGGATGTTGTGTTCGATGTGTGGTAAGACGATGCAAGATAAAATTAGAAATAACGACATTGAAAAGAGAGTTTGGGTAACACCTATAGTAGAAATAATGGTGGTAATTAAACTTGGGTGGTTTGAGCTTGTAGAGAAAAGATCGGTGGATTATGTAGTAAGAAGAGTAGAGATAATGATGGAGGGTAGTCAAATTACTAAATGCAATGAACAATCTAGAAAAACTATAAGTGAAATTATTAAAAAAGATATAGAGAATAATGAGTTGGATAGAAATATGTTATATAATAGAACGTCAATTTATCCATGTATCTGATCCAACTTATTGGGATAAGGCTTGGTTATTGTTGATGAAATTATACTATAGCGTTCATGTATCTGATATGATTGTTTAATGGCTTTGACAGCTATGCAGAACAGCTGAAGAACACCCTGAGATTGTTTTTCTGAAAGTAAATTTTGATGAGAATAAGCCAATGTGCAAAAGTCTGAATGTTAAAGTACTTCCTTACTTCCACTTTTATAGAGGCGCCGAGGGGCAGCTGGAATCATTTTCATGTTCGCTCGCCAAGGTAATTTTTTTATAATGATAAGAATGCCTATTTAAGTGCTTTTGGCTGGTTGAGTTCAGAAATCTTTAAATTTAATAATAAGCTAATAATGGTTCTTTTGAAAATTACAGTTTCAAAAAATAAAGGATGCCATCTTGACACATAACACAGCTCGATGCAGCATCGGTCCTCCTAAGGGAATCGGTGATTTGGTTCTTGAACCGTCCTCTGCTCCCAAGGATAAACCAGCAGAATCTGTTTGATAATCATAATACCGCCATCCATGAATCTGTAGCTTATAAGTTTGCCTCCAAAAGTGTAACTCCATTGAAACTTGGAAGCTGCGGTCGACAAAGAGTTATGATGTGTAATCTGTATATCTCTACACTTGTATTTTTTTGATCAGTTTTTTTCTCAATCATTCATTAGCTGATTGTAATCAAAGCACTTGAAAACTTCAGCAAAAATGACTTGCTAGGTGTTAAGTTGTATTTACTTTAAAATTATATGTATCTGTAAGCTAAACATCTCTTGTTATAGCTTGATTCTTTTGCTTATTCAGTAGAAAAACAAATAATTTATTAATTTTTAAATTTTTCTACTATCATGTAATCGAAATTATGTCCTTGATTCTGTTTGATTTAGAAATAAAAACATTTTATTTTTTATTTTTTAAAATTTGTACTAATACAAGAACTTGTCCTAAAAAACCGTAGAGATCCACAACATTTGGGTTTGTTAAGGATATTCTAACATCAATGGTTGAAACAACAAACAATCATATCGAGTCATAGAAAATGTAACGTTATCTTTTTACTCAGTCAAACATTCTCATGGCAAAGAGAAAGTAACAACCAAATTATCCTCAGTTTGGATCATTCTTTGTTCTCTCCATCTTTCGGAAGATGACTACCTACGGAACAATCTCGGAGGACGAAGAAATTCGATCAAATACAAACTTAGTTTACATTTTGGAGGCGAGAGATCGAATCCAGGCCGGTTTGGGCGTAACAAGACCATGGAAAGAAATGATCCAACCATCCCGTGTCAAACTGCCATCATATTTCTTGGACGCACTTCAAAGAATCAACACGAACGCCGAACATTTCCGCGCAAATTACGTAATCATGATATTGTTCATTCTTTTCCTTAGCTTACTAAGAAAGCCTACATCATTGATCATATTAACTGTGATGATGATAGGGTGGTTGTACTTGTATTTCCTAAGAGTGACACCTTTGGTGATTTTGGGGTATGAAATAGATGAGAGATTGGTGGTAATATCCTTGTTGTTGGTGACGATTGGTTTGCTTGTTGTAACAGATGTAACACATAATGTGATAGTTGGAATGTGCGTTGCTCTAGGTGCTGTGTTGATCCATGCTGTATTGAGAGAAACTGAGGATCTTTTCACATTGGATGAAGATGTAAGAGTTGTAAGAGGTGTTAGACAAGTTATCAAAGTCCCTCTTAGACAACCTGGTTCATCTTCTTTTACTTTGCCTCCTTAGAATTTCGTTTCTCACAATATATAGAATCAACATGAAATTTATATTTCATTTCTTGTAATACAATATATATTCGTTATTCAATCAATTGATTTTGTTATCATTGATACAAAACCATTGTGTTTCTTGTTACAATATATAGAGTGAATTTGCATGTATACATAAATGTTCTTTATAAAGGAAGTTGCTTGGACAAGTAGTGTAAGAAATTGTTGCAACCATGACAACAAACTTATGTTTATAACTTTTTTTTTATATATATTTTTTTTTAATAGTAGATCAGTTTTGAGATAAAAACTCATCTAATATAAAGATAAATTTTCTAGAATAGGGTGTCAAGATACAAATTTAAGGGCTGATATTTTAGATGATATAACATAGTTAGAAAGTGTATTGTTATAAAATAATTAATACATTTTAAGGAAGATTTTATAAATAAAAAAGGACAGACACAATTTAAGAGAATCTTATATTTATAAAAATGGAGGAAGTAATTTATTTTAAGGTGAAATTAAACATACTATCTTATATATGAAAATTAGAAGTCATAATTACTTTGATTTTATGGGTGTATTTGTTTAAAGAATTAAATTTATAATTTTAGAAAGAAATACTATTCGTTGAAATAATAAATATTTATAAAATACATTTAATTTAATTTAATATATATATATATATATATATATATATATATATATATATATATATATATATATATATATATATATATATATATATATATATATATATATATATATATATATATATATATATATATATATATATATATATATATATATATATATATATATATATATATATATATATATATATATATATATATATATATATATATAAAAGAATTAAATTAATTTAGAATGAGAGGTTGTCAGTAGTTACCTCTTATTCTTATGGATATACATTTTTTTTTTGTATGGGAATAAAAAAATATCAAATTTATGAATAAATTATATTCTCAAAAATAAAACCTATCCAATCATAATTTGATAAAATAAAACACGTAAGAATATGATTTTCATCCTCACACATCTAAAAAAAAATAAAATGTAAATCCACAAAATAAAATGTCTTTTGGAAACATTAAGTAATCATGCTCAATTGAGTATATTCATTTTATTATAATAATAAGAAATCTTTTGACATTATTAATCGATACTCAATTGTTAGTGTTCTCGCCTGGACTCCGGCCTGACCGGAAAGGCCCAGCTCACATACACTTGGGAAAAGGCCCAAAGAAGCCTTTCTCATTCTGTGTCGAGCACAAGACTTCCCGTCGACCAGACACTGCCCCCGTCGGGCAGAACCTTCCTCATCTGTGTCGAGCACAAGACTTCCCGTCGACCAGACACTGCCCCCGTCGGGCAGAACCTTCCCTCCGTCGGGCAGAACCTCCCTCCGTCGGTCAGACACTGCCCCCGTCGGGCAGAACCTTCCCTACGTCGGGCAGGACCTTCTCCCCCGCCGCAGGCAGGACCTTACCCTCCGCGGGCAGGACCTTCTCCCCCTCCGCAGGCAGGACCTTACCCTCCGCGGGCAGGACCTTCTCCCCCTCCGCAGGCAAGACCTTACCCTTCGCGGGCAGGACCTTCTCCCCCTCCGCGGGCAGGACCTTACCCCTCCGCGGGCAGGACCTTACCCCTCTACGGGCAGGACCTTACCCTCCGCGGGCAAGACCTTCTCCCCCTCTGCGGGTAGGACATTCTCCCCCTCCGCGGGCAGGACCTTATCCCTCCGCGGGAAGATCCTTCCCTCTCCGCGGGCAGAACCTGCCAGGGGGCAGGACAACGTGTCCTTCACACGTTCTCCACGTGCTCCCCTCCGCGGGGACACGTCATTCCCCAACTGCCCCCTCCGAAAGAGCAGGTCAAACCCACTTTCCGGAGACCACGAGATAGTTGGACTAGGGCGAAGACCACGTCCTGGTCTTCACTACGCCACGTAAGCCCTAGCAGTCACCTGGGTTGGGCCTGGCCATCCAGCCCAACACAAGTGATTGTTGGCCCAGCGCTGGGGTCTCTCTATAAATACCCTCTTCCTCAAGAGGGTCAGGTAATTCACTTCTTACCCATTTTTCTGTACTTTGCTCTCGCTCTGCCCAATTCCTTACTTTGCCATCAGAGTGTTTTGCAGGTACACCCCCTTCTCCTCCTCATCACCGGTGAACAGGTAGCAGTCCAACAGCGTATGGCCAGCCCGTGATCCCCTCCTGATCAGGTCAGATCAGTGGCGCCGTCTGTGGGAACTAAGCTTCCCCGTTCCTCCGAGCAGAGAACCAAAACTTCATCTCTCAAAACTTCAGGATCATGAGTGCCCCCCGCCATGACGGCGCTGTGCACAACCTTCCTCCCCCAGTCGGGAAGGACCCTGGCAGCCAACCGGTCAGTCTTTGTCCTCTCCTTCGTCGAGCAGAAGAGTCTGTCGGGCAGGACCATGGCTGCAACCCAGCCAGTCTTTGTCCTCCCTTCGTCGAGCAGAAGACTCCTCCGGGCAGGACCCTGACTGCCAACCAGACAGTCTTTGTCCTCTCCTTCGTCGAGCAAAAGACTTCGTCGGGCAGGACCATGGCTGCAACCCAGCCAGTATTTGTCCTCCTTTCGTCGAGCAGAAGACTCTGTCGGGCAGGACCATGGCTGCAACCCTGCCAGTATTTGTCCTCCCTTCGTCGAGTAGAAGACTCCGTCGGGCAGGACCATGGCTGCAACACATCCAGTATTTGTCCTCCCTTCGTCGAGCAGAAGACTCCGACGGGCAGGACCCTGGCTACGAACCAGCCAGTCTTTGTCCTCTCCTTCATCGAGCAGAAGAGTCCGCCGGGCAGGACCATGGCTGCAACCCAACCAGTCTTTGTCCTCCCTTCGTCGAGCAGAAGACTCCGTCGGACAGGACCCTGGCTGCCAACCAGCCAATCTTTGTCCTCTCCTTCGTCGAGCAGAAGACTCCATCGGGCAGGACCCTGACTTCCAACCAGCCAGTCTTTGTCCTCTCCTTCGTCGAGCAGAAGCTCTGTCGAGCAGGACCGTGACTGCCAACCAGCCAGCCTTTGTCCTTTCCTTCGTCGAGCAGGACCTTGGCTGCCAATCAGCCAACCTTTGTCCTCTCCTTCGTCGAGCAGGACCTTGGCTGCCAACCAGCCAACCTTTGTCCTCTCCTTCGTCGGGCAGAAGCTCTGTCGAGCAGGACCTTGACTGCCAACCATCCAACCTTTGTCCTCTCCTTCGTCGAGCAGGACCTTGGCTGCCAATCAGCCAACCTTTGTCCTCTCCTTCGTCGAGCAGGACCTTGGCTGCCAACCAGCCAGCCTCTGTCCTCTCCTTCGTCGAGCAGAAGCTCTGTCGAGCAGGACCTTGGCCGCCTGAGCGTAGCATTATCAAGTCCTCGCTCCCTTGCCTCGGAGCTACGACTTGGGGGGGCTCCTGTTCTGGCCTGGGCCCCAGCCTGACCGGGAAGGCCCAGCCCACATACACTTGGGAAAAGGCCCAAAAAAGCCTTCCTCATTCTGTGTCGAGCACAAGACTTCCCATCGACCAGACACTGCCCCCGTCGGGCAGAACCATCCTCATCTGTGTCGAGCACAAGACTTCCCTTCGACCAAACACTGCCCCCGTCGGGCAGAACCTTCCCTCCGTCGGGCAGAACCTTCCCTCCGTCGGGCAGAACCTCCCTCCGTCAGCCAGACACTGCCCCGTCGGGCAGAACCTTCCCTCCGTCGGGCAGGACCTTCTCCCCCGCTGCGGGCAGGACCTTACCCTTCGCGGGCAGGACCTTTTCCCCCTCCGCGGGCAAGACCTTACCCCTCCGCGGGCAGGACCTTACCCTCCGCAGGTAGAACCTTCTCCCCCTCTGCGGGCAGGACATTCTCCCCCTCCGCGGGCAGGACCTTACTCTCCGTGGGCAGGACATTCTCTCCGCGGGAAGATCCTTCCCTCTCCGCGGGCAGGACCTGCCCTCCGCGGGCAGAACCTGCCCCCTGTCGGGCAGGACAACGTGTCCTTCACACGTTTTCCACGTGCTCCCCTCCGCGGGGACACGTCATTCCCCAACTGCCCCCCTCCGAAAGAGCAGGTCAAATCCACTTTTCGGAGACCACGGGACAGTTGGACTAGGGCGAAGACCGCGTCCTGGTCTTCACTACGCCACGTAAGCCCTAGTAGTCACCTGGGTTGGGCCTGGCCATCCAGCCCAACACAAGTGACCGTTGGCCCAGCGCTGGGGTCTCTCTATAAATACTCTCTTCCTCAAGAGGGTCAGGTAATTCACTTCTTACCCATTTTTCTGTACTTTACTCTCGCTCTGCCCAATTTCTTACTTTGACATCAGAGTGTTTTGCAGGTACACCCCCCTTCTCCTCCTCATTACCAGTGAACAGGTAGCAGTCCAACAGCGTGTGGCTAGTCCGTGATCTCCTCCTTATCAGGTCAGATCAGTTAGTATTATTTTATTCTAAAAATTTAACAAATTATTACTATAACTTTGTTCATGTCGTATTCATAATGTTCTATCACGCAATACTACATTAATAAGTAAATAAAATCATTTTTATAGTTGTTTTACAAGGATACGTATGCAATTCAAGATTATATATGCTAATGAATTCATTTCATTTTTAGGTAATGAGTATAATATATAAAATGGATTTAGAAATATGATAAACCAGTCCTTTTGTTATTAATAATTAACTTTCAGATGCAAAAATTTTACTCTTTGTTTTAAAATAATTATTTTTTAAAGTTCTACAGATTAAAAAAGTAATAAATTATTATAAAATATTATATTTTTAATAATTTAATCTTATTAATATATTAGAAGTAATATATAAAATAATAATTAAAGAACACAATTAAAAAAAATAACCATCATTTATATATTAAAAAAAGTAAAAATAAAATTTATTTTAAATAAATATCTTTTCCTAAAATGAGAGTCATTATGAAACGGATCAAGTAATAATTTTTTATTAGAAAAACAAGATGCTTGTTTCTTCA